GGGGGGGTCTTCGACCTGAATAATCAGGGGTTAGGATTTGCACCCGGTCGAAAGAAACCTTGCTATCGCAAGAGTAACTCCAGCTAGCTTCGCTAGCTTTCGTGACTAGCGATGATCTGGTGCAATGTTCCAAAGTACCAAACTTCTTTCCAAAGCCCAAGACCAAGAGCTTCAGAGCCTGAAGCGGTCTCAGGAAGCTCCTGCAGATCCGGAGAAGCTAGTTCACTGATCAACTGGAAGTTTGAGGTGGTAAAGTATGCACCTGCTACGGTCGCAGTGTTTACAATATGCTCTTTACCCTGCGTTCTTTCAAGAGTGGATTTGAGACCCAAATTGCAAATCTGAACAGTCTGAACAGGTTGATGTTGTCGCCTGCCAAGTCTTAGCCGAGCACCTGAACTGGCCACATCTGGCCAGGATGCTGGTCGGGAGGTGTTCCCTCTGCATTGTGTCCAGCAGGGGGTCACAGTACAGTCGGTGGGTCAAACAACGAGGACGCCCAGAGTTGTTGATGTCAGACTTCACTCCGACGCACCTGCATAATGCGGCATTTCACTAATTTTACATACCAGTAGATGTGAAGCGTAGAGAAATAGAGGGTTGGGCAGCGGGAAGGCTTACATGTTTGGGTGGATTGCTTGTGCAAGCTTTGGAGTAGAGTAGCAGTAATTAATGGGATTTCAGGGTATCGAAGTGTTGTTTAATAGGGTGGGATATGCTGGGATAGGGTGACATGGGCAGGTACCAACACACAACATCCATCACTCTCGGGCAAGATAATCACAGAATGAAACTACATGAATCTATCTTGCTTGTCTGATGAGATTTGGTAGCAGTTAGGCCGGCCACTCCGATGTAATTGCAATATGTGGAAGTTTGCAAAGCGCCTCATGTGCATCTGTTTCCCCCAATTGCAAGAAACTTGCTCTGACCGTTTGCCTGCTTCCTTGGCAAAGGTTTCTTCAGGTACATTCGGCTTGCACCCATGCATTTTGTTAGAATAGCAGTATATTTTTGTCTGTAGATGCTTTTACGACATGGATCATGTCTTGAGTAGAGTTTGTAAATCTGTCGAGAGAAATGCAAGTTTTCTCTCTTCTTTAGCAAATGCATCCCGCACTCCTCTTTCAGGATCAACGCCCAAGCAATGACATCCCTGGGTAAGAATCTACAAACCATACTTGTTTGATTGTTGTCGATTCTTTTGCCTGTACGTTGCTTCAATCTTGGCACAAAATGAAGCGAAGGCACTGCTCGTAAGGCCCTGCCAAAAAGGCATCCTGCCAGGCATGGACTGTTCATGGACAACAAGAAGCAACATAACTAGCCAGGGTGACAATTTCAACCCGAAGGCCATAGCCAACCTCCCAAGGTTCCATCCTGACCAATTCCACATGCAACTCAATGCAAACAATCGGTACTTTCACATTCACTGATGATCTGACTCATCTCATCTCGTATGTGTTGACTCCTGGGTGGTTGCGGTGGGCAAGGTCGCTGCACAAAGCGGCCAAACTCCATGACGAGCATGGTTTCACCACCACCTGCCCAAAGCAAAGCTAGTCTTTGCAATTTGCAGTGCAGCTTGCCTTAGCAATCAAAGCACTTTGAAAGCGGGTCCAATATAACTGGACTTTACATAAAATGAACAGGGAACAGCAGAAGGCGTGGACGAAAGGTAGCTGGGTGTGGGAGATAGAAGTTGGTCCGTACCCCAACTTTGCAGAAACACGTTTTCATGCCACGTCAAACGTCAGCGGGAAGACTTTGGGTGGTCTTACTGTTTCTTGGTATGCGACTGCGAAGTTCAAATAGCGTATATATAATATAAATATATATATATACACACGGCAATGTTGCAACTTCTACAGCAGCATCGCTAAGTGACTAACTCACTAAAAAGTGTGTGTGTGTATATACATAAATTTTACAATATCAAATGTACAACATTGTAGAACCTTCGCAAAGCACCGCACTCATGTGCGAGAAAAACGAAAGAAAGCGGAATAATGAATACTGTGATTCTGATTTAGCTCAAAGCGTTTCTTGGTAATTAAGCACACATGACCCCCACAATAGCTGATGTCATAGTGCAGTATTAGATTCTATAGTATGGCATGTACGGTGTGCTTCTCTCAAACCCTTGGTCCGACCTTCGGCATGCTCTATTCCAGGCAACTCCTCAAAACCTCGTTCCGCGGAAACAAGCCATGCAAACAAAAAAGAAGTAAATCCTGATCTACAGTGAATGCAGCTTCAGGAATCAGAAGCAAGCCTTCGGTCTGCAAATGACAGGAACACTTAGCCTCACTATGTCTACAATACTTTGATGTTTTTTGCAAACTGCTAGGAATGTTCCGGACCTTCGCTTGAAACCCGTTGCAACCCTGGGACCTTGACTTGAAACCCTTTTGTTGTAGGATGCCCCCGTACAGGAGCCTTGCCTCTAACAACTCCAACCTCTCACCGACTTCTTGTTGACTGCTTACGTGCGTAGAGAAACCTTTACTTGGAAACGTGGCCTTGAACAGTGCCAAACCAACCCCAAATACCAATAACATGTATTGGCTTTGATTGGACATGGCTGTTGGGAGATCTTAGGGATGGGCATGGATGGGCGGGTAGAGGAGGGCTTCCCCAATCAGGGCAAGTAAGAATGAGGAAGGCGAGCTTGAGGCTGCTACCTTCTGGACTTTCAATAGGCACTTCTGCATAGGCCTCAAAAGCATCCCATGGCGTGAAGCGCGTGAAACCGAAATCGCACGTCGTGTATCTTAGAGATGAAACATAATTTCCATGTTATGCCACCTTTGAAACAGTTGCAATGTCTAAGCTGGATTAGGCTGGCTGTGAAGATTGAGGAACAAACCCAGCCACCGTTTTGCTTCAAGAGCTGATCCTGAGAGTCACGTCCGATGGTCCAAACTAATAAACAAACAGTCAAGCTATCGTATAGATGTCTATAGACTATAGAAGTCAAGCTATAGAATCGAAAAGTCAAGCTATAGAGTCTATAGATGTCTATAGTATAGTCTATACTCATTTAAGGTCACTTGTAGTCCATGTCTGGATCATTGATCACATTCAAACTCTTTGATGCCAACTCAACCGAAGTGGCTCCGCGGCGGAGACACATCTCTGGTCGACCCCTGACCTGATGCGACTTTGGCAATTTTAATTTCAGAATTCTGACAACACATGTTCGAAAAAACGGTTATCATCGTTCATCAAAACCCATTTTGGCAGCCCTTGCCCTTCTCAGAGTCTGGCGCGTTGCCAAATGTTCCAACGGTCAAAGGGAGTATGCGGCTCAATGTTCGATACAATCCGCCGGCCTCCAAGATTTCGCTGAAGGCCATGGAACTCATTTTATCATTAATCTGTTCCTACCCTGGTGAACCATGCAGAGGAGTTTAATGACAAACGTACATGATTTGCACCGGCGTCATAGGGCGCCTGGTACTTTTGTAGGGTTTTTGGTCGCGTGCATCTTGTGGGGGCTGGGGGGGTGGCGGGAGTACTACATTAGCATCGTTTCGACTTCGAGCCACTGAATAGTTTTTGCTTCCGTCTTTTTGATACCAGTATGTTTTTGTCTCCGCACTCTGCCAGAACACGCTTCTACAAAACATAGCGCATCTTCAGCGAGTCAATGCTACGGATGATGAAGATAGTAAATTTCAACAAGTTCACACACCCACTGACTTCCAAGTTTCCTGCAAGATGTTGACAACATTTCATTTCATTTGCTGCCTCTGTAAGTCTTGCTTATGGCGTGTAGCAGGGAAAAGCTACACTAGTGATAAGTTGATAAGCTAGAAGCTCATCCATCGTGCAACTGCTTCTGAGCTTCAGACTTCGTACAGGAAGATCTTTGATCTTGCGAAACTGGTTCCTACCCACTGCTCATGGTGGCACTCTCGTGCCAGATCGCGGGAAGAACGCTCCGTCTGGTTGGCAGGGCCACGGTAAATAGGTCGATGTGGCTCTGCAGCATCGATCAAACGCAAGCGCTGAATCCAGATTGCAGTGCCACGCATTTCGATCAGAGTCCTCCCTTCCACATGAGCTTCATGGGCTTGAGACAAAGAGTGCCTGGCTGTCAACTCCAGAGCCCATGAGAAGAAGGCTGCAATGACCGCGCGAAAAGCATGATCCATGACCTCCAGTACAAAAGGCAGCAGCACACTGCTTCTGCGCCTCACAGTCTTCCCTTTTCCTGCAGGAAGCTCCGCAGGCTAAGAAAGCTATCCACAAGCTTCTCAAGGTCATCTTTATCGGTGCCACGGAGCTTGGGCCCAAAGACCTGCACTGACTCACGCCTCTTGAGGCCGGGAAGATGGAACATATATATATATATATCACATATCAATGACCCTCGGCTCATCTTCCTGGTACTTCATGGCTGTTGGCCATGCAAAGCAACGGTTGGCACTACACAGCGGAGTGCTGACAAGCGCAAACTCAGGCGCTCGCCCGCTGTGGATGAACCCGATGAGTTGTGAGCGCCCGGGCAGAATCAAACATCCAAACTCGGTCCTATCCCTATCCGATTGGGGGTGGGGCTTGGGTGTCTTCCCTAACAACTTCAAAGCCCAAACGCGCTTCAGTGAAGCTGTTTTGACCAGATGCTTCCGACCAGGCCGAAGGCTCTTCCAAGCGTGTTTCAGCTCATGCCAGGAGTAGCCCCGTGCAGAGAGGTCCACATAGCCGCCCATCCATTGAACATCGGCCTGCGGACCACGCAGCCACCCATCACCACATACCTGGTCTTCTCCTTCAAGACCTCCAAGGAGGAAGTCAGGGCCATGCCGCGCTAGTCTTTGAGCATAAAGCAGACGCGCCACTGACAAGAAAATTCCAGAGATAAATATCATCCATAACATGCTCCTTCCGTTTGTGCTTCACCTGCAAGGCAGTGTGTCGGAGCAGGTTCATTTAGCAAGTACGAAGGCGCTGAACTTGTCGCGCTGGTAAAAAGAGTGCCATGCACCAGCTCCAAACAAGAGGCGTGACGCATGATGCGCCCTCCCAAGCTGATCCTCAAGTTGGTCAGGAGGGGTCGAGCCAACTGTCGAAACAAGGTCCACACCTGGCCAATGCATATCTCTATGTCTCGCTGAAGGCTACCACCAGAACTCATATAAGTGCCCAAGTGTTTGTAGGAGGCGCTCGATTGAACATCATGATGACCGTGTAGGACTGGGTCCAGGAGCAGCTGTCTCCTACAGGTTGCTGCCTGGTGACCCACAAAGGTGGGCAGGCCTTCAGTTTTGCCGCGGGATGCATTGAGGCAAAAGCCTCGTCGCTGAAAAAACTAATCAACTTTCTCAAAAACCAATGCAACTTCCTTGTTGACAACAACATGAAAAAACATATTTTCATTGGCCATGATGACCATGATGGTCAATATGTTTTATCTTTGTTTCGCACCATGGTGTGTACGAACCATGGTCACCTTGCGGCGTGGGTGCGTTTGGGCAAATTCTGATGCACACGCGTCCGCAAACCATGCAATTACGACAAGGGCGACGTCGTAAAGGCTGGCCATTGTTGAAAGACGGGGTGATCAAACAATATCGTCGAAACTGGGTGAATCTTTGCGTTGTGTAACAGAGCTCGCGCAATTTGTCCTGGCTTTGCCGCAGGCAAATGTCTGTGTGCGCTTCCGAGAGTGCTGGTCGATCTACAGCTTCTTCGTTTCATGAAATAGAAAACAGAAGACAAAGTTGAAGACGCTGTCCTCGGCGTGGACGAAGGAGTAGTCTTTCGAGCTTCTTTTTCGCTTTGGGCGCATCGCAGGGCCACTGGGGCAGGTTTCTTGACCACTGCAGCGCCGCATCCATATAGTATCATATAGTTCATGTTGATCAAAGCTATTCCACGATGGAATGGCCGATCCTTCGCGGAAAAATATTCTGCACTCTTCCGCGGATCATTGGCGGCCTCATATGTTTGGTATGCTTCAAGTTTGGACCCGGGACTTCAACAGCACATTCGCGAAACTTTCGCGAACATTCACGAGCTAGTGATTTCCCCGAAAATGCACATTCATATAAGGTGCAACCATCTGCGCAACCTGGCAGAGCTGCAGATTGTTGCCTCACAGTCAGGGCTGCGCAAGGACAAGTTGAGTTCTTAGTTTATTGTGACAGCAGGGACAGGAGTCGGAGAATCCTTTGCGCACTGTGAGGGCTGCGCAAGGAAACTTGAGGCAGTTTGTCTGTGAGAGTGGGGACACTTCCGCCCACGGAGTCACTGGCCTTGCCATACGTCGGTAGAAAGGAACTGATATGAAAAGGAAGACCTTCGATAAATCTTTTGTGAAAAGAAATGTACTTTCGCGGATGGTGTGGACAGGCTGTCATATTTTATATACGTATATATATATGTATACCCCTTATACACCCCTTTTGATATGATGAGGGTTACAGCCTGTTGCAGAAAGGCCGTAAGGAGACACACGTTTTCTTTGATTATGGCAAAGGCTGAGAGCCTGTAGACAAGATCTGCTGCTTGTCAAAGACAGCCCCCCATTCTGTGTGGAAGCTGGGCCGCGACAATATGACGCTGAATGTCAGCAAGACCTTGCTCTCAACGCATTTCTATCTACTTTTTGTCGCTTTTTTTCCCATCTCAAATGAGTGTTTTTACAAACATGCGTAAGGATCCGGCTGTTTCTCCGGCACCTTTGACCGCTGAAAGCTCCATGCCAAGCTGAAAGTCTGGCGAGAATAACATTCTATGAAACATGGAGAAAGGAACACATATTCTGAGTCATGACAAACCATCACCAAACATCCAATAATGAAAATGATCCAATGGCCTGGGAGCGATGTGCTCGTTGTCAATGATCTTTGGCAATTCTGCTTCCGAGCTCTAGATATCTCCAATGTTCCCCAGCGGATCACACGGGGGAGGCTTTGCTGCATGGCGGTCCTTGCAGCTCCGAGAAGAATCACTGAGGATTGACAGCGGCACACCTATTCACACCATACTTTCCGGCACATGAAACTGGATCATCCTTGTAGGTTGCATTGCTACAGTCACAGCCCTCACTTATGATGCTCCATTTGCATTGCTCGCACTGACGAAACTGTCGAACACCAAATGACCTCCACGGCGGATGGATAGAAGCTTGCATTTTCGCAGCGGTCCTTGGATGCATGGTTGCGTATTGATTGAATGGTGGCGGATTCCATTTGTGATGGCTTTCCTTTTCAAAAAATTGTTTTAATATTTGTACGTGGAATTAATGTTCTAATGTTCACAGAACTCGCCAACTTAGATCCCCCTTGCTACCGACAGCTAAGGTAGATCCTCAGGATTTTACGTATTAAAATCCTACCGAACCAAGGTGACTTTCTGTTTTTCAATGGTGCCCTGAGTTTTTCTCAAGAGCTTGCCCTCCCAAACGCCCTCAAGCAGCAACGAAGCACCTCACCCTTTATTTCATCAGATATATTTTATAGAATATATGTTTTTCAAGCCAAAAAATGCTAATGATGCAGCTGGCCGTGGGCAGCACCACAACTCAAAACATGACTAAGGATGCTAAATCCTGTAGTCAAACGTGTTTTTGGAATCCTGGCGCCTACGAGTCTTGATACCTTGGGCACCAGGATTTTTCAAAGCCCCATTTCTGCTGTATTTTCCTGGGGCCCTACCTGACTTCCTTTTTTTGAGATTTCTTACTGAACTTATTTTTTCTGAAACCTGGTAAGCAACGGGGATCAACTTAGTGAGATCCGTAACTTATGAAGGGAACCCAGAATGCTGGATACTGTTCGAAGTTATTGGTCTCAATTGAATTTAGCATGTTTATTAATTGTGTTTTAGGTTTTCTTAAAGCTCTCAATTCGGAACCACGGGTGCTACAACTGTGTGGATGTCATATGGTCAGCTTCCACCGCTATTGACAATGTTTTGGGGTCGCCTTTGGACATCATATCATCCATTCTGCTGCTTTTGGGGGAAGGGCGGGTGGCAAATGAAAGTGTGAGTCATCATTCTCACTTTCGCTTTTTGTTGGGAAAGGGGAGGTTTTGACCAAGTTGACACGCTTGCACCTTAATTGCATGGGCTGTGATGAATGCCGCTTCCAAGGCTCGGGGAGTTCTCAGCGATACGCTTCAAAAGCTTCCCTGGCATTGCCGCAGCCAAGATTCTTTCAGGTCCTTGGTGTCTTTTCAGGCAAGGCAGCAAGGCAGTTCTGGATCTTAGGATGATCAGTTGGAAGTTTTATGCCATGTTGTGCCTTATGGCATGATGCAATGTACATCAATGTGCTCTTGTGTGGTCTTCTGCCACCTCTAGCTGAGCCCATGTCTAGTGCTCTCCTCCTCGCAAAGAGTCATGGAAGGAGCAGGTGGACGGCCATCCACCACAACCCAGCCCAGCTGGCAGTGGAGCATTGATTGTGGCAAGCGAGAAAACAGAAGGCATCTCACAGTCTCACAGATTCTCACAGGATGTTGATACAGCAATTGCATTGTTTGTCTCAAGCAATGCAAACATCGCTTGAACTTGCCCCAAAAGGCACTGAATTGCGTGATTAGCATGGAAAATGAAGTTCACAAACCATCCACAGATCCTGTATCTGCAATGACCTAGGTTTAGCTGCCTCTAAACGACTTGACGCTAGAAACCGGGCTCAGTCAAGCTGGCTGACATGACCTGTGGAGGAAGCAAGCTCGTTCCACTGTTCAGTGTGGAAGCAACCTGACATCAGGACAGCATCTGAAAGGTCCACTGAAAGAGCAATACTGAAAATGGAACACAACATGTCATTCCTGGCCTTGTACAATGTTGCCGAATATGGATTCCATCTTAATTTGCCAGGAGAGAAAGTGCTCCCAATGGAGTTGATGGTTTTCACCTGAAAATGAAGAAGAACTAGAGTTGCAAACGGCAAATTCCGTCTGACCGAGCTGTTATACAGTCTAAATTGAAGCCAACACGCTGTTTTGTCCTCTTCCGTTGATAGTTGCACTTGGCCATCAAGATCCACTAAGCTCCAGTCGAGTCCCTCACCTGCCACACGCTTGAAAGCAAAACAATCAACCTGGCCAAAGACCCCAGTGTGAAGTAGAAGAAAACAAGTGTGAATAAACCAATTTCCGCAGTCTAGAGCCAAGGCCAAGACACCAAAGTGCAGATTTCGCAGCAAGCACAACACGTTGCGAACCTCCAAGTGCAGATTTCGTGGCAGGCACAGCGCTTTGTGAACCTTCAACTGCAGATTTCACGGCAAGCGCAGCACTTTGTAAACTCGAAGTGCAGATTTCGTTAGCAGGCGCTGCTTGCAAACCCGAAGTGAAGATTTCGTGCCAAACGGAGCACCGCCGAAAATCCAAAGGTTGTGGCAAGTGTGGCAATCTGTGAACCTCAAATATGTGTTTTCTCACCTGTGCGCTTTCTGGTGTGGTCTCATATGTATGTTCTCATTGTGTGTTGTCATTTCCTTGCTCACATGTGTGCGCTCTCATATTCTCATATGTCTGTTCTGACAGGTGCGTTCCTCTATGTGAGCTGTCTTTTTGCGTGCAAACATACCCATGCGCTCATATGCGTGCTCTCATGTGTTTGTTCCCATATGACACATGTGCGCAGTGATATTTCAGCTTGCGATGTTTTTGCTCTTAGGATGTCGCAGCCTTTGATCCAAAATCGATCAAAATGATCAGACATCGACTTCCGGAAGCAGCTCCTGATATATGCTGATACTGATATTCGTTTTTGATTATGCGATTATGCAACGACTGGTGAAATGTGACCTGTTGTTGGTGGTTGTTGGCGTTATGTATTTCTGCTGGAAGATTGGGTGATGCATTGGTGATGCACAAAAGAGTGGCTCAGCGGCAGGGGTGACCCCGGCCGTAGGCCCTGCGCAGATAGGCGCATGCATTCGGTACGATGAGCCCCGCCCCTGCCGCCCACCACGCGACTTTGTGTGTTTTACATTGTTTTACAGTGTTTCCTGCGCATGCCGCATGCGGCAAAGTCGCTTTTGATAGTTGGAAGTTGGTCTGACGGTCCCCTCATTCCGACCACAGCCACAGCAACAACCAACAACCATTAACAACAGCAAACACAGAAGCAACAACAACAACAACAACAACGACGCAACCAACAAGAACAACAACAGCAACAACAACAAGCAAACAAGCAAACAAACAAACCAACCAACCAACCAACCAACAACAACACCAACAACTACACCACCGACACCGACACCATCCAACAACCAACGACCGCGCAACAACAGTTCTTCTGTCCTCTTTGCAATGACCTGACGCCGAGGCAGCGAGAAAACATGAATGCACGGAAGGCACGAAAGCAAGAAACTAAGGGCGTGGCCGAACGAAAAGCAAAACTGGTTGCGGATTCAAGTACATCAAGGTGCTTAATTAATTACGAATTTGAAAAAGCGGCGGCGTCGTCAACGTAAAGGACAACTCCGTTTTCTTTAATGCGCTGGTCAGAGTGTTCTGAAGCCAGCGTGCAGCATTGAGGCCACCTACAAGTGAAGGCCGGGACGCAGCGCCTGGCTTTGCTGCAGAAAAGCCTATAATCTGCGCGCTGACAAAGCCTTGCGCAATATGCGAAAGGCATGGCAATGACCCCTTTGCGTACAAGCATCTTGAAACAAATGGTGAAGGTGCTACATTGCTAATATGCCGTCCGAAGGTGGGAGAAACAACCGCAGCAGCAACAACATCAACAACAACAACAACGGCAGCAGCAGCAGCAACAGCCACAACCACGAGCATCACCCCCATAACAACACGACGACAACAACAACGACAACGACGGCAATGACAACAACGACAACGACAACGATAACGACGACAACACAAACAACCGCCACCACCACCACCACCACAACAACAACAACAACAAATAACAACGCCAGCGCGCCAACAACAACCACGACGACATACGACGACCACCCCAGAAACGCCTCGCACTTTGCATCTCGTTGCCTTGGTTGTGCTTCATTGGCCTGCTGGCCTGCTGTTGGGGGTCAGCTCCTTAAATCTGGCGAGGGGCCCCCCTAGGACAGAAACCACTGTGATTATTGGCAATGTTTTTGGCCCTCAGACTTTTAACAACATATCGCCAACATTAGCAAACATTGCCCTAAGATGGCCCAACCCCATAACATTCCTTGATACTCTGTACATCCGACTCACCCCCACGTCCTCCAAGCGCCCAACCGCCGCGGCCAAACCTTGGTTTTGAATCCCTACAACACTTCTTGAAGAATGTCATCCCTTGCCCTCAGACCCAGCCCAACTGCCATCCTCACGCACGGTCCTTGATGCCCCTGACAACCCGACCCATCCCCAGCCTCCAAGAACACTCAGCCCAGCTGCCTCCAAGAACCCCTGAAAGAAAGACCACTACTCGCCCCCCTTGCGTTCGCGCCAGGTCGGCGGATTACCAATTCGTTTTCCCCAAGCAGTGTGGTCACAGGAATCTTACGGTATAGGTGTTAAGGCCGGGTTTGATCGTGGGTACTTATGGCGCATTCACGCGTGTGGAGAACATGAAGGGCGTTTGGACTGCGCAGGGTTGCGCATCTGCTGGTCCAAGGCGGGCGCTTTCCTTGACTGCGTTCTCATGCGCATGTTCGGATATGTTCGAGAACTTTCGGACTTGGTGGTTAGTGTTCGTGGCAGAGAGGGGGTTGTAGTCCAGACTAAAACCATGGTTTTACCACCCTGGCAGGCAAGGGAAACCTCGTGTTTTGGTGGTCTGAAGTTTATGGCAACGCAGCGGATTGGAACTGATTTACTTCGATGTACCGATTCGTGGCAGGCGCAGTGCTTTGGACTTATTGGAGCACACCTGAGAGCCTGAGAGCACAAATTAGGCATACGAGAGCACACATACTGTCACATACTATGAGAGAACCCATGTGAGAGCACACGCGCACACATGTGAGCAATCGCAGTGTACACGTCAGAGCACATATATGAGAGCACGCATTTGAGAGCACACGTGAAAAAACGCACACACACACACATGAGAGAGTGCACCTATGAAAACGCCGTATATATATATATATATATAAGAACGCAATAGAACGCACATGTGAGAACACACAAGCGCACATGTGAGAGTGCGTGTGTGAGAGCACACGCATCAGACCTTACACATGAGAGTAGCAACATGCTAAAAACAACATTAATGTTGATGTTTTTGGCAGTAAACATAAAAGACACACTGTGAAAACTTATGTTTCTGCATCCCACGGAAAAAGAACGTCGCAAATACATGTAAATAGCTGATGATCAAAAACTTCAACATTTACAAAACAACGTTTGAATACATGTGAATACCGTGTTTCTTGCGGAGTTTCATCGCCTGCGCGCGCAAAAGGACCTGCTGTAGAAGGGCTCAAACCGGTGACCAACAACAGCAACCAACAGCAACAACAACAGCGGCGACTACCTTATGTAATCGCTGTTTTGCGACGCTCTACAACAAAACACCAAGTCTTTCTGGAAGTGTCTCACCCTGCGGTTGATGCGTCATTTCATCATATGTGTTCATTTCAGAGAGTCAAAAGGGAACATGGGGGGCATCGAACACCTGTCTTGACCCTGTAGCTTTCATATGCTTTCTCTCAATTCAAGTGTCACAGGAATTGCGGCGGTTTCTTCAACGAATATACTATACTGTCTTCATACTTCTTCCGATCTTCCGCCTTTCATATTGCTTCTTCCGTCCTTCAGATCACTTCGGATTCTCTTCAAGTCGCTCGGCCTCTCTTGAGCAATGCAAGGCTAGTTCCACGCTTTTGGAAGGCGTGTGATTGGCCGACCTCGCCGAGCCCCAGGGAAGTATATAACCATCCCCAGGCCCACAGTCACGCAACGCCGTTGGCAAAAAAAATCTGGTTAGCTGTCAGCACTATCTGCGTTGATGCGCAACGTGGTGTTTGATGGTGTCTGACGACTCATGTTGCAATAAGGCAAATCCCAGGGTGCTTGAGGCAATAGTAGCATTTCACATCAACTTCGTCAGTTTCCTCACATTTGCTGTCAAGGCAGCGAACCCTCTAGATCCTGTAGAACCAATGAACAACTGGAACACACGCCCAAGAGCCTTGAAGGCCGTGCGCACATAAATGCCGTTGGCAATGTCCAACCCTGCTCCCTGAACAGAAATTCCAGGTGCAGAATCTGGCCTCACACAGCAAATCAGTTTCAACACCATGAAACAAGAGCCAAAGAGTGTAGCTCTCTGACATTGTGGTGTTACGTTTTTTCTCTGTCTGCCAGGTGTCAATTGATAACAACACAACTATCTCCCAGCAATCTGGGCCAAATCTTTTTGCGTATCGCTTCTGTTTGTTTTTCCGGAGGAACTTTTAAGTTCATCTAGTGGTCCTCTATGTTTCCATACACTCCTAAAACCTTCAACCTTGTGACATCGATCAGCTCTGACAAACCACCTGACCCAAACCCATCCTGGGTCCCATCATCTTGTCTCTGCGGACCCTGGATTCTACCCATCACCAAGCAGCAAAGATTGACTTTTCACATGAGCCACTTTGGACTGAAACGAGGCTCGCATGGGATAATAAGGATCTGAACAAATGCCAGCTGCCTGATTTGCTTCGAACCAGTGTTGTCTTTGAGATTGTCGCTTGACTGCTCATGGAACAAAATGAAAAGACTAAATTTTCAAAATGCACTCTAAAAAAGGTTCCAAACAATTTCAGTGCAATACATGTCCTTTCCAAGTCTGAATTCTGAAGTTGCTCGAATGTCGCCTCAGGTGCATCATTAAAAGGTGTTAGTCAAGGCCAAGCCACTTGTTACTAGTAGCGATGCCAGGAGCCCCTAGTAGCTTCTTGTTCCTAGTAGTAAGGCCAGGAGCCCCTAGTAGTGTCCTTGTTACTAGTAGCGATGCCAGGAGCCCCGAGTAGCTTCTTGTTCCTAGTAGTAAGGCCAGGAGCCTCTAGTAGTGTCCTTGCCCCTAGTAGCGATGCCAGGAGCCCCTAGTAGCTTCTTGTTCCTAGTAGTAAGGCCAGGACCCCTAGTAGTGTCCTTGCCCCTAGTAGCGATGCCAGGAGCCCCTAGTAGCTTCTTGTTCCTAGTAGTAAGGCCAGGAGCCCCTAGTAGTGTCCTTGCCCCTAGTAGCGATGCCAGGAGCCCCTAGTAGCTTTTTGGTACTATCCAAGACTGGCCCCATGAGCCAATTCAAGTGGAACAAAGAACTCAAACGCTGTCCAAGTTGCCTTTAGCGACAATTCTGTAGAATTGCCCAACGGATGAGCATGTTGACGGAAAAGAATGGATCTAGTTCAAAGGAACACTTTGCAGCCTTCATTGGCACTCAATCGCGTCAACGATACGAGCTTCCTTCAGTACTGGTGTCTATCTTGGCAATCGCATATTGCAATGGATTGTTTGATATCCTTTGCCTATTTATGATTTCTTGTGTATGCGCTCAAGCCAAATCGGCATGACAAACTTGCAACTTGCCACACTGATGCGATTGGAGCTTCCTGTTGTCCTTGCATCACCCTGCTGATCAGTTTTGATGTAAAAAGTTGCAAACAAGTGCAGGTTGGCATCAACTTCAACGGGCGCCCCTCTGAGGATGCAGAAGCGCTTTCCCGCGGCATGTGACCTGTCGACCCATCCGGAAAAGCAGGTCTGCACAACGCAACGACAACGCGCAACAGTGTAGCAGCAAAAACATGACGCATTGCAAGATAACTACAAGATATCTGCAGAAAACCTGAAAATTAGACAAATTGCTACGCAGAATCGCCACACATTACACATGGGTGGAGGCCTTCAGGAAATGCAAGCCATTAGACATTCACACAGAAACCACCTCCTTCTAGAGTAAGCAATCTGTTTGAAAAGAAGCTATCGCACCTTTTTCTAGAAGTGTTTTATTGCAAACTTAGGCGCAACTACATCTCAGAAAATGCAGCTAACATTGGCTAACGCTCGTTGAATTTGCTTTGGACTGCTTTGGTCTGTCATGGTTGGAAAATGGGTGCAAAAAAGATCAAACCATGCCTCTGCTGGGGTGGAGGCTGGCACATCTCGAGCTGGTGGGGATTATGCGAAACTGCTCAAATGCTTTATCGGGCCTCGAAGACAGCCATCGCCGCGAAAACCCACTGTCATGGGAACTCAATGTGGATTGCTTTCCTGAATTGTCATGGGTCATGAAGTGTTGTTGAGTCGGAGTAGCTGCACAGCTTACCCTGCGTCCGTTGCCGACATGCCTACGATGTGGCTCAAAACTAATTCTTGATTTTTTTGACACAAAGTGGCAAGCTGGTTTGCAAATCTATCTACAGACAAAAAGGCCAGGATCGTTGTCTTTGGTGCTAGTTCCCCCCTAGTCCACTGTGTTTGCTTGATGCTGCCCATGGCGATGGGGCGATCACTGTAGGGTTGTTTTTTGAGCTTGTTAGATCTCCAAGGCACTGCAAATGGATCAGTGATATGTCAGTCCAAACTAGTTGAAAACTCGGTTTCATTGATCATTAAAAACACAACTTTATTGCCAGCGGTCAAAATAGCTCTTGCGTGAATCACCCAACCAAACTGATTTTTGTCGGCAACCGATAGGACGCACACTCAGAATTCAAGGAACTCTTTGGATCCTTGGATGTTAGAGTTGTTGACATCTGAGCAGCAAAGCAGTCATCTCTGGATTTTCACATCTCGGACTCACTCAAGCAAGCACTGCTCCTGCATTGATGGTCGCCAAGTTCTCCAAGGCCACACACACAAGTCTGAGTGAAGAAATTACTGTAATCCAGAAACCAACAACCAAACCGTGGGAGCCAGACCCTGAGCGTGAGATCAATTTTTCGACTGTGGACTTTAGAGCTGAGCGGATTTGAGTTGTTCTTTCATGTTGAAGCCCAACGGTTGTTCTTCATGTTTGGTCAGTCATGTCGCGTTCACTTCTAGCATGTGGACTCTGTGGAGCTCTCGTGATCTTTCAAGTGCCGTAATTACCTCCTTCAACGCTGCACTAGTTGTCCATTTTCGTAAACAAAAGCTGCTCAAGGTTAGGACGTTCCTTCTTTAACGTGTCCTTCCACTCCACTTCATCGGTTCTCAGGTTCCTTGCTCCTATGTCCACGCTGCCTTCCTTGCTTCGCAAAATTGAGCTCGCACGTCCATTTTTTCCGTCATGCACTCAGAGTGCAAAAATGCATGGTGTTGGTTGTCGGGCCCTGTGGTCCTTCTAGTTCAAAGGCTGCCTGATAAACGCAGCCAGCTTCAGAAATTAAATACAAAGTCCTAAAGACCCTGAAGTTCATCCCTAAGCCGGATACTTGGGGGGTTCCGCGGGAGACTGTTGGAACTGGATACTTTGCTGGCTTGCTGGCTGATAAGTGCTGGCTGGCTGACGCTGGCTGATTCCGCCAAACACTTTGGTGGCTGATTCCTCCAGCCGCGGGATAGTTTGGTGGCTGAATCCACCAGCCAGGAGCCCCAGTGTCCCATCTGCGAGAGCCCATGGCGAAAGGAGCTCATGGCTGGTCCAGGAACTGCTTGAACTCAAGGGCCATTCCTTGCACCTTGCCAACAATCCTCCGGAAACATGTCTAGGCTCTGCACCAGGACCGGTTTCCAATACGTACTCAGCGTGTCCGAAGGTTCCTGCTCATCTGCCTGGATCACCGCAGCCTCCTTGTCAGATTCCCGGTTCAGCTCTTCCAACCTAAGCCCTAATGTGTTCGCACTACAGGCTTTCAAACTTCTCAACAGTGCAGCTCCACACAAAATTCACTTCACCAGTTAAATCTCCCCGTATTTAGGTGTCATGTTGTGTACATAAGTCTTGCACATCCAAGCTGAGTGCAGATCTAATACCTTTGTTCACTCATTGTAGCTGCGTGTTTGATGTGTTTGGCTTAACCCTAAACTGCAATCCCAGTGAAGCACTGTTCCTCAAGTCTTAGAAAAAAAAACATTTGAACTCCGACAGTTGTCATAGATAACACCGTACGTTTCATTCACGGGTGACTCAGCTGCAGCTGTAACTAACTCTCCAGTGTCACCCACCAAATACAGATTGCATCTCCTCCATGAGGCTCCTCCAGGATCGGCCTCAAAAGAAGAGTTTGATAGGATAAGAGAATCAGTACGTACAGTGTTATATATAGGTCAAATTGCTTGTTCCCAAACCTGCTTCTCGTCTCAAATGTCCGGTCTTCTCCAAATGCTCGCGACAAGCCTTGGAGACTGTCAAACATACCTAGAGACACTCTCGATCTCTCTTGCTTCATTGGCCTTGAAACTTGGCATCAAAACGAGAACCCCCCCAATTCTCAGCTTAGCATTGATGCATGTGTGTGTGGTGGAGCTTAGACACCAAAACAAGACCTTCACGCGAACCTCAGTGAGCTTTCGCGCTTTCAAGGAGTGTTTGTGCGACGGTTGGGTTCTTTAGTGGCCCCAGCCCTTGCTCGATTGCTTTCACGGTGCAATTGGTCGACGTCTTTTACAGAAATTGCTTCGGGGTGGCGACTCTTGCAGAGTTGGTTGCTTGCATGAGGCGAGAGCTTTTTGTCCTGCACAGATCCCTACACAGCACGTGGATGAGTTCCACATATCCAAATTCTGTCACCTCAGCCTGGAAAATACTAGCACGAGTTGAAATGGGGACTTTGTCTCTAACTGCTCACCAAAAATGATAAGGCAACAACTTTCGCACGGGCAAAGACCTGTCAAACGCGAGTTCAAAGCACCTTTGAAGTGGCAAAACCCTTAGAACAACCCTAATGAATGCTCGATTGAATCTCCTCACGTTTGAAGCTGATGTGCCAAACAAGTGTATAGAAACGGAGTTGAGAAGTTTGTGTAAAATATAAATGTGTCCAAATGGCCTCCTGGCAGATGGGACATTGAAATTTTGCAGCAGGAGCTTTCCTAGCATTACGCATCACTGAATACCGTGTACAATTCTTGTCAAATCTCTCTGGACCCGTGGGATCCTGCCAAACTTGCAAGTGCGGCCACTTCCGCGCATACCTTGCCTCTGCCACAGCAGGGTCAGTGCAAAATTCCTCAACTCAAGAGTTCGTGTTCAAACAGTACAAATGAAAGAGAAGCACCATGAAGCACCTGCCCAAGTCGTTTCACTGTGATTTGATCGCAAAATCAGCACGAAGCCAATGGCCGCAGGAAGTCCACCAAACGGGTCTCCTTCATCTGGACTCCGCGAACGCAACATTCATTTTTGTGGGGAAAGATTGCAATTCGTATATATAGATCGTACTAGTATCAGTATGGGTCAGAGTTTATCAGTACAGAATGTCTGCAGCATTCTGCAGCTGCTGACGGCTACAAGAAATCATCCCACACAAGTGGTCTTGAATCAGTGAGTTGCTAATTTTATCTAATTTTGCTTGCAATCACAATGTAGTCTCGGCCCCAAAAAAACATGTTGGGAACATGTTTTTTGCACCCTAGAGTCAAGTGTGTGGCAAAACAACAGCGCGGCCACTATCAGTATGTGTCGCAATATGGATTCGGTACTTGATGATGTGTTTCCACCTGCTTTCAGTATCTTTCAGTGACATGTCCAGCTTGTGCGCTGGACGAGCCACACTTTTTTTTGAAGCGCCATCATGCCTCAATGCTCTAGTGACTCTACTGTATGCAGTACATTGGCCCGACCTGAAATTTGGCGAACAATGTTGCAATGCGTATGTAGATCTGAGTCTGGAGTTGACACATGACATGACATGCATGGCAAGCCATGAGCACTCAGGCACCAAGATTGATGATCAATGGGTTTCATGACGCTTTTCCCCAAAACCTTTTGCATGTCGCTCCACAACTTGTACGGCTCCTCTCCAGTCAGCAGGACTTCGGCTCGAGCTGCCTCCTTCTGATAAGCAGCAAGCAAAACCCTTTGATTTATGTGTGATCTAAATCCCCACACCCCAGCCCAACACACGCAAAAGGTACGTATTAAACAAAATCACCACCACTACCCACGAGGTTTGCAATGACTACAACAAAGGCCAGTGTCACCTTCAAAACAAAAGTGTATATGATATGATACAATGAAAAGTTCCCGTGCACCGGCACTCGAGACTTGAAAATTCAATATCGCCCCGCCACACACGAATCTTGCAGTACAGGGAAATTTGAGCCAGGGTCTACAAACGACACTTTTTCGTGGATTTTGGCTTCGGTTGGGGCTTCGTCTTGGCTTCGTTTTGAGACACCACATTTCATACGCTCCAAACCCTCAAGAAAAAGATCATCGAAAGCAACCGCTCTGCAGGAAAAACAAGACAGCTGCGATCCAAGGGCTTCCCAGCTTCAACTTTCTAGCTTCAACTTTGGAAAGTCACAGGCAACTAGACACGGACAAGCCTCAGTGTATCTCAGTGTGACTTTACAATGGGAAGTACAGCAAAGTGCACTACCCCTTCTTCACTGAGCCCAGTACTTCTCAAAAAAGGATACACATGCAAACATCCCACCTAGAGGCTTCGTTTTTGGTTTTCTGGCTTCGTTTTCCAAGGAATGTGCAAGATCTCACCCCAAATGATCCATTTTATACAAAAACTCAACACTAGGTTTTTGGCGGTGGCTCATATATTGTCTCCAAAAGGAGGATAAATTCATCCAGAGAACCATGGAGCTAGGACTAAACACCAAGCACCAAAGGTGAAAAATATCAAAGAGTTTGCGCATCAGCAATTTGGTGTCAAATATATTTTTTGAATCGATCGATCAAGTACTTGTCGTTTTGAGAAGACCTACTATATATATATACACATAATTATACATATATAACTTCAATATACAACAATATACAACAAGTTTCAGTATGAACACAGTGGAGATCCAAAGAGGAGCGCCATTCAGTGGCAAGTTCAGCAAACACGCACATTCAAGAATCCAACCAACAAGGTGCCCCTGAAGGGGGAACTTTTCCAGTCCAATAGATAGGATTCTTTGTAGAATAGAATACTGAACAACTTGTCTTGTGAATGAATTTGACTGAAATCCACATCGGCAAAAAATAACGTCCTTCATTCTAGTTCTGCGCTTCTTGCCTCTGGCCTGGGCTTCCGTCATGTTGCGTAGGGCCATTTCAAACTTCCATTCGGTCAGTCGTTGTCAGAAGCTGGCACTGAAAAATACTTGGGTCTAGACAACGGATTCCTGCACAAGTTGGTTGCTTCACATCACAGGACTGAGCACAAAGTAAGTGCAAATAATCAGCCTTGGAGAGAACATCAGACTGCTTGCTTGCCAACAAGGATCTAGGCCAACTGCCTGAAATTTCATCCCGTGGTCGATGCTGAAGTTTAGCCTCTCTGACACCTGCTTGTTTGAGATTGTGCATGGGCCAACCAAGTGAGGCTTCAATTCTCCTCTACACCTTTTGGAAGCATCTGCCCTGAACTATTGATTCAAAAGAGACATCCATCATGCATCCGCTTTTTGGCCACAGTACCATCGTAGAGCCTCTGAAACAACCTCCAGCAGCTTGTCCAAGGCCTCCTCAGGATTGCCGTTAGACCTTCACACAGTCAGGAGTCAGCGTGTTCGAATGTTTGTAGGAAATCCGGTGAAGTCCTGCGAAGTCGGTGATGTTTCTCTTTGACAAGACTTTCGTCATCGGCCTCGTCCCTGGAAGCTTTCTCATCTGGCCCTTATTCAATATACGACCGGCCGAGTGAAGAGTTTCCCCAACATGAAACTAAGCTGTAACATGCTGTAACCATATCATTAGCTCAAACAATCTACACCGTGTACAGCAGGACAGCTTGCTGTCACTTTCTGAGCACTTTTGCCGCTGCATCTTTAGCTGGCCTCAAGCTCTGACAAGATCTGACATTATCGTTGATGCAAGTTGCAAGTTTCCCAATAATTCTAGGAACCAAAGCAATCAAGCGAGGGGTTCTTCCCTGAAAAAGCCTGAGCTCCACTGCGTCCAAGCTACTAGTATCTACTAGTACCCCTTACTACTACAAGTAGGTACTTATATATATAATTAAGCTTCTTCACGGCCTTCCCCCTCCACCCTTCAAAAAGAGAACGTGCAGTTTTTCTTGTTTTTTTCAAGTATATATCTGTGCAGGTAGACCCAAAATGAACCAGCAGGTCCCTCTTAGAAGTGACCACCCGTCGTCAAAAAGGAGAAATGTCCGATGGCTGTCAAACGTCTTGTTATATTTGTCTTTGCTGCATTTTGCTGCCACATTAGATATCGTCCCAGCTCTAAGCCACAAACTCAAGTAAAGATGCTCTAATGCTTTCTCGCACTGCTTGCAAAGCCTGCAGTACATCAAGTTTGCTCATCACTGCAGTCGCCGGGTGGCCAAACAGAAGGGTTCCGACTGCTTCCATAATATACTCAACCATGGATGGCTTCTAATAGGTTCATACTCCTTGATATGCCAACTTGACGTCTTTTTCATCTTTCTCCGACGAACCTGCCTCCAAGGCGTTTGAAGCCAGCACCCCTCCGCCTTCACCTCGTTCATCACCCAGAAGGCTGATCTCCCATCCCGAAATCTGAGCACAGAATGCAAGAGGAAAACAGAGTAGGCCTCCAACCTAATTATGAAATGAATGATGCAATGAAACACATCAAGTACCAATGTCCTCTTGGCCTTCGGGCCTTCACGGCCAGAATGTGCTCTGCAAACGAGGGAGAGTCACCTTCCCAAATTTGCTATATTATTTTGAAAAGGTCTTGCGAAGGCCGCAAGGGTCGCCTGCTGTGCCAGGGCCGAGTTGCGCTGACATAAAGGTTCTCTCAGGACCTAGTGCAAAATATGAGAAGCTGCATCACAGGTCAGAGGTAATTCCCATTCAGCATCACAAAGGATTCCGTTTGAGAAGTTAATACCTGAAAATAGAATAGCAACTCGCTGCACATTCTCTGCTTGTATGCTTATGGAACACCCTCCAACACCTGCCTCGCCTGCGCATTGATGTTCGGATAATTCTAAGCTGGACACAAAGCGCTGTGATTGCAAAAAGGATTTCAACCTCAATTCGCCAAAGCTCTGTCGGTACAAAAACTGTTGACGGCCATGTAACATGTACCTCAAAGCTCCCATGGCTTCTGAGCGCGTTGCTGCTCTGAAAATTGTCACGCCATTTACCCGGACTGAACTCCTGTGTCATACGCAAACTTGCAGTTCAATAAATTGGTCTTAGAACAAAATTCCAGTGTGAACGACACCGCCGGAGAACACGCTTTTTTTCCGTGCAGATTCTACATAGCGTCTCTTTGTATATTGTGAAATGCTAGCACAACAGATTGAACAACATGAAACTCACGAAACCTTCCTGGAACCAAGAAGTTGCATGCTCGCTGCAGTGCCTCAGTTCAGTTGTGAGTTTAAGAAATTCAGGACTATGTGTGTTCACCGTGAAGTTTGCATTGTCCGTATCACACAACGGCCTTTCCATGTGTTTTTCTCGGTGGGCGACAGAAAAAAGTCGTCGCCCGCATTGACATGACATGGGAAGCCTTGAAGACCGAAATGCGCCGCGCAGAAAAACTCCACATGCCCAGCTGTGCTCAGCTCTTCACCAACGGGATTTCGGGCTTCCAGTACCCCGCGGATTTGCTGTTGTCGTTCCTCCACAGAAATAAAGGCAAAAGGCATGAAACATGCTGTTCTTCATTGCATATTATCTTTTCTTTCAGTATCTTTCCCCGACCTCTTCAGATGATGTGCTCCGCTCTGGAAGGAAGAAACTGAGTTGGTACGGGGAGCTGGGCCGAGCCTGATGTAAGTGATGAGAAATTGGTTCATCTCATGAGGCATGAAATGTCAATAACATCTGACACAATCTCAGTCGGCTCCATGATGTCCATCTTCCACCAAGCTGAGCCACCACCAAATCACCATCGAAATCGATGAAGAAAGCCCCCATACTAAACCTTCGCGCAGTGCGCGTTGCCAAAATGGGCAGTAAAGTGATAGGACACAATTACAAAAATACTTGACAAAAGTTGCACAGGCAAGCAGGTATTCAGAATGCAGTGGCGCTTTGTCGGTGGACCCGTCAACATACTGCCTGACGTATGAACTGGCATGCGGCATATGTCTCAGTGGGCGCTGGCGCTTCTATTTGGACCCTGTTGCATCCTTGCATTTGGTGCATTGTTCTGACATGTGCACGACCTGTCAGAGCTGCGGATTGTTTGCCTCACTGCCAGGGCTGCGCTTGGGTGATTGCACTTGCAATTTGTGAGTCACCTTGGGAAGGACAATCCTGTACGCGCTGTCACGGCTGCGCATTGACAAGTTGAGTTGCCAGTTTATTATATAGTCACAGGAATCAAAGAATCCTTTACGCACTGTGAGGGCTGGGCAAGAAACATTGAGGCTTCACTTCGTTGGTCTGTGACAGTGGGTGGGGACATGTGGGACACTTCCGCCCACCGGCTCTGCCGGATGATTGCCTTGGATTTCTATGCACTGTTCCTTTTGTCGGTCGAAACAAAATATGTAATATGAAAATGAAGAACTTTGAGCCTTCGGTAAATCTTTCGCGAAAAAAAACTATCAATTTTCGCGAACATCATCGCGGATCTTTTGCAAATGGTTGGACAACAACATTTAGATTTTGTTTAACCCCTTACACACCCCTTTAGGTCAACTCCATTCAACTCTCACATATGTGCTGACACATTTGCTGGCATGTCTGTCGTCTGACATCATTTCTTGGCAATTGCAACGAAAGGCCACCTGTCTCGACGTACTGTTGTGGCAGGTTGTATGGAAGCTCGCAATGCATGATCTGACATATTCCGTGACCTATTTTCTGGCATACTACCTGGCAACTTGTTGCGGCATGTTTTGGGCGCGTTATCTGACACAGTACATTAGAGCGCGTCGGCACAGGGGGCCGGTAAATCTGTGGTCCCAGTCCAGTTGAACCCGGTTGACATTCTGTGAGGACCGTGCTTCAACTGGGCCAACTGGGACCATTGGCTCTGATGGAGACGGTGTCTTACCTGGAGCCATTGGTTCGCATGGGGGCAACCCGTTGGAGGAAAGGATCCCAGCCAAGGTCAACGACACGGGACGTCTGGTGTTGAGTGTGCTTTTCTACTGGTCCAATCAACACGGGACGTCTGGTGTTGAGCTTGGTTTCTGATGGTTAGATAATGCTTTTCCCCACGTGTCGGGTGAGGGTTGTTAGATTTTACGTCAGCCCCATCTCCTCCGCCTCCTCCTCCGCCTCCGCCTCTTTTTTTTGTCCTCCGCCTCCCCCGCCGGACCTCAACCACGACCATCCACGCCCAGTGTTCCCTGCCGCACCTCAACCACGACCATCCGCGCCCAGTGTTCAACCGCGAGCTCCGGGCCCGAGTGTTCCCTGCCGGACCTCAACCACAGCACACAACCACAACCACAATCACAAACACACAACCACAAACACAACAACAAACACACAACCGCAAACACAACACCAAACGCAACCACAAACACACGACCACAAACACAACACCACAAACACACAACCGCAAACACACAACCACAAACACACAACCGCAAACACACAACCACAACCGCAAACACACAACCACAACCGCAAACACATCCACAAACACACAACCCCAAACACATCCACAAACACACAATTACAAAGACACAACCACAACCACAACTACAAACACGCAATCACAGTCACTACCAGTACCACAAACGCAATCACAAACACACAGCCACAAACACAATCACTCACAAACACACAGCTACAAACACAATCACAAACACACAGCCACAAACACAACCGCAAACACATCCACAAACACACATTCACAAACACACAGCCACAACACACACACAACCACAAACACACAACCACAAACACACAACCACAAACACACAACAACAAACACACAACAACAAACACACAACAACAAACACGCAACCACCAACACACAACCACAGCCACAATCACAAATACGCAGTGACACGCACACCACAACCACAGCCACAACGACAAAGACGCAACCACAAGCACACCCACAAACATAATCACAAACGCAACCACAAACACACAACCACAAACAAAATCACAAACACACAACCACAAACACAACCACAGTCACAATCACAAACACGCAACGACAAGCACACAACCACAAACACAACCACAGCCACAACGACAAAGGCGCAACCACAAGCACAACCACAAACACAATCACAAGCGCAACCACAAACACGCAACCACTACCACTACCACTACCACTACGACTACGACTACGACTACTACTACTACTACTACTTTCTACTTCTACTTCTACTTCTACCTCTACTACTACTACTACTCCTCCTCCTCTACTACTACTCCTCTACTACTACTACTACCACTACTACTACTACTACTGCTACGACTACCACTGCCACTGCCACTGCCACTGCCACTTCTACTACTACTACTACTACTGCCACTACTACTAGTACCACTACTACTACTAGGTTGGGAAGTTTCCAAGGTTCGGGCCCCGAAGGTCGGGCCCCGAACTGTGCGCTGCTATTGCGACTACTACCGCAGTGCTACGACGACGACTACTAATAGTGCTCGGGCCCCGGAAGTTTCCCAGTTTTGGGCCGCCCAGTACGGCTACTACTGAAATGATCTGAATTGAAAAGTAAGCTGGGCACAGGTCCCCTGATGAAAGCATTCGCTTCGGACAAAACAGTAAGACTTGACGCTGAAGGACTTGTGCTATGGGCTGAAATAGACAGCGAGGGTGATGTCAACGTGGCTGTTTTGAAATGTCATGGTGGGGATCACTCGAAATGAAGTAATTATACCTCAATGTTGCTTGTGCATAGTCTTCGCTTGAGGTCCAGGCAGTTCTCGACTCATTTGAGGAACGGCTGCCAACCAATATCAACACGGGACGTCTGATGTTTAGCTTGGTTTTTGCATCGTGCGTCGGAGCCGAATATACCAATATGGTAAAAAAGGATCACAACTTCCCCTCCCTCTCTCTGACGTTATCGACATTCTTCTCGAGAAATGTATAAAAAAATGCTTACATTCTCACGCGGCAGCAGCAGCAGGAGGAGGAGGAGGAAGAGGAGTAGGAGTAGGAGTAGCAGTAGTAGCAGTACTAGTAGTAGTAGGTCGCGGTGGTGGTGGTGATAGTAGTGGTGGTGGACCCGGTGGACCTGACCCAGTTGAACCCAGTTGACACGTAGTAGTAGCAGTAGCAGTAGCAGTAGTAGTAGCAGCTTCTTTAGCTTGTCGGGGTCAACTGGGTCAACTGGCTCTGGAGATTTAGCATGGCCCCCTATGTGGTCGCAATGGTATATAAGCCACTAGGCCCCATCTCCCAAATTAATATGGTCTGCAGGATAGGTTCGGTAGAAGAATCTACTAAACTAGCCACGGAGCTACCGCCGAACTCCAATCAAAACACCTCAAAACCACCCTTGCATACACTGACCCCTTCACACACTTCAGCAGAACAAACTTATATGGACGCGGCGACACACGGTAGTTTGGCTGTTTCTCGTGTTCTTCTTGCAAAAGTCAAGAATTGAGCATCTACGAGCTAGGCAAGATATTAGCTGCAGTTGCAGCCAAGTAGCAAGTAGCTGGAAGCAAAATCTGGGACAGTATGGCAGTGCTTGCTTTAGCAGTGGTAGAAGCAGCATCTACACCCGTAGCAACAGGAACAGTCTCGCACTTGTTCTTGTTCTCTGCGCTGTTCCCGTTGCTTTTGTCACGTTTCACACGAGCACCTTTCAAGCTTGGCACATGACGAGTGAGAGATGCTTGCGGAAGGCGTGGCACCATCCAGTGTAGGAGGCTTGGCAATCGCAGGCCCGGGCAGGTCAAGCCTCAGACCCACATGCAGTCCGAAAGCGAGAGACAGAGAGAGAAAGAAAGAGCTAGAGAGCTAAGAGAAAGAAAATGGAACTGAGATTTAGAAAAAACATTAAAAAACGAGCCGTGAAAAGCCAACACCGTCTCGGGGTCAAGCTCCTTGACAATTTCCGGCGGAAAGCAAACCTCAAACTCAGAAACGTGATAAAACCCCGCGTGAGCTTGTAGCTGCTGTAGCTGCTCGACAAAATTGAGGCTTTAGCAGCTGCGAATTCTGAATCTTTGCCCTGAGGAAGGCTGGCATATGCTGCCGTCTCTGGGAATGCACACTGACGGCTGTTTGACATGTGGTCAAGGGATGTCAAGGGTGTGGTCCTTGCAGGTCACGTGTTGTGGGGTCCGACCAGCGAGCTTCTTCATGACATCTGGCAACCTGAGAGAATGCCGGTCGGATTCTGAAAAATATTGAAGGGTCCTTAAGGAGTCCTGGAGGAGCTATTAGGTTGGAGACCATCACTATTAGGTTGGAGACCATCACTATTAGGTTGGAGGCCAGCGCCTCTTCATGTTGACACTTCCAGCGGCATCCTGCAGTGTGCTGGAAATGGACGCATCAGGGTCAGTCATCACAGCAAGAGCCGTCGCTGTATGTTAAGCCAAGTTGGTTTTCAGAACGTTTTAAGCGCTCCTTTGCAATGAATGTTCAAACAACGCTCAAGATCGCAAATGCTTGCTGTTCAACCCAAGATCAGTCCCCAACACAACATTTCGCGGAGCCACCTGGGCGGACTTTCGCAGCTTGGCCACCACGACTCGCTTGTGGACCATCCGCCCTTTAAGTGGCAAGGAGTTGACTGCTGAAATCATCTCATCACGAGCCTCAGGATTGGGAGTGATATGGAGAGCTTAAGACAGAGTATTTTGTGTTTTGTTCTTTCCTGGAAGCATTGAAAAGGTGCTCTTATTTGCTGAGGATGTCTAACGGTGTCCGCAGATTTCTGTGTGATTGAAGCATGTGAAGCCTTGAATTGTTAAGGCTTTGTATTTTGGTTTGCTCAGTTGGGCAAGGACACTGACACTGTGTGAGGATTGCATAGCGACCCACCTCTCCCTTTTCCCCTTTATCGACAAAGCCATGTATCTGCTTCATTCAATGAAACCATCTTGAAAGCAAGACCTGCCTGTTTCCATGTCAACCGTATCTGCTCATCTTCGCCTCATCACATATTTGCAAATTAAAATCTGCAGAATGGTCAAACATAAACATAAACAAATAAACAATTACTAGTAGTGGACAATCGCAATTGCCCATGTCAGATTGCATTGCTTAATTCATCTTAGTTCCATCTATATAGGTGCATCTGATTGCATCTGAGGTATCGGTGATAGGGGGTCCCTATCAGTTCCCAAGGTTTGCACCATGCCCTCACAACAAAACTGTTCGTTCACGTGTTTTTTTGGTTGCTCATATGGGGCGTGTAGGTCATACCGGAGCGATTGCGATAGTGCAAACTGTGCAAACTCCACTGCGGCACAGCTGGCTTGCAAAACTGCTCCGGGATGTTTGTGTTCTGAAAGGATCCCATGTGCAATCTTGGAGTTTGGAAACAGTATTCTATCTTATTCTATCTAGTCTGAACCATCTTGATTCATTCATGGGTCGCAGTATCTCTTTGTATATTGATAATGAAAACAAGAAATTGAGTGAGCATAACAAGAGTACCTCCTTTGTGAAGAAAACAAACAGCCTTGTCTAAGGCTAAGGTGAGCACTACGGCTCACTGCGGGGACGTACAGGGACTGTCAGCCATTTCTGGGGATTCCAGCGGTCTTGAAAGCTGATATCCATCGAGTAAACTCACCGGTGTTGGACTGTCTAGTGATAAGACGCGTAACACTCTCTCCTTTCACAACTTCATAGGCGCTAGGGGGGTGGTCAAAAGGGGGGCGGCAAATAAAAACAAAATATCGATGCTGTTCAAGAGGCTGCAGTGAACAAAACAAGGGGATTGAAAACCAATAGGGCTTATAAAGGCTTGCATGTTGCTTGTTAATAGGAGTATCTCATATTTGTCTTTTTTAGGGCCTCTGTTCACATCAAAGTATATATGTTTTATCGATTTTGTTTAACTCCAGCAGTGGGAACCAGCGAGAATTATATAATCAGTACCAGCTGTTTACCAGAAGCTTTGGCTCTGACAGTCCTGCAAAACGAGACATGGGAAGAATCACATTCTCAAACCAACTTAATTAACCCCACAATGACCTGTACATACATGCACTGCAGATACCTGTAGCATCAGCAGTCAGCAAGAGTAAAATACATAGGGGTTAGAGTTGTTTCGGCCAAACGATGTCAACTATGACAAACATGCTTTCAGCAGCCGCAACTGCCAAATGGTAGAATCGCACGTCTGGCTGCTGCGAACAAGTTTGGGTCTTGCAGACTCTTTCACGTGGACAAGGATGAGTTAGAGTGGCCAAGAAAAGCTAGCCACGCGCAAACAGAGAGGAATGTGGGCAAGGTAGCTTCCCACATATGGACCTTCTCAGGCCCAAAGGGTTGGAAGAAAAAAATTAACATCATTGGGAGCAGTGACAATTTCACATTCCAAGATTTGGCCTGCAAAAATGGCAAGGAACCACAGTTGTTGGAGGCCGTCGGCAAACTTGAAGAGAAAGAGCAAGGGAATTTTAGAGATGCCGTGCATCATTGCTCGAAACTCTCGGAAAAGAAACACAGAGAAGAATTGCAGAACAAAAGACCAAAAACAAACCCTGAAGTTGAGGGGTCAACAGAGATGCCTGGAGCCTCAGGGAAGCCATCGTTGTCAACCCCTGTGGGAGCTCCAGCTGAGGTTGCTGCTAGTGCAGCAAATGACACTATATCAACCTCGAGCGGATAGCCTTGACTTGATGTTGTTACTAGTAGCTTCTAGCTACTAGTAGCGATGCCCTTGCTTCCAGGAGCAATTCAAAGATTCTTTTGAATCCGGGGCCAGCCAGCCTCTTCCAGCAGAGGTCCTTCAGACACGACTTCTTTGCCTCCTGCGCGTGAGAAGGTTCCTGGTTTGCGTGGGGATACAACACGATACAACCAAGAGAGCAGTAGCAGCAGTGAAACGACCAGCGCCAGCAGAAATTGCTTCTATATTTCCCAAAGCACTTGGACTTTACATCAGTTCCCAAATGACAAACGCAGTACCATTGAATTCGCCAGCTTGATGGGCTCAGGACTCCAAAGGACAAAACAAGAAACTTGGCCACCATATTGTGGAGTCGGGCCGAAAGAGTCTGCCGTCCGCACTGTGCTGGAATTCGTTCAGCTCGCATTCCCTCAAGGGAAATGATCCATGAGAAGGTTACGGCTTTGCAAACTACGGAAATACATGAGAAAGGTCGTTAAGTTTGAAAGGAGAGAAGCAGTTTCACCACAATACAGAACTCGAAAACCGAGCAAAGAAAAGGCGAAGGATGTTGCGCACAGTCATTTCTTCTCACTCGAGTTGTTCTCTTCTCCTCGGTTCTACTTGATGAACCTTGATTGAGATGTTCCATTTTGCTACCTGCCTTTTCTCTCCTCCAAGTAGGATCCTATGACAATTGGAATGTTGCTTTGCTCCAAGTGTTTGCACATGGTGTCGTTTGGATCCTTGAAGGCTTGAAGATCTGGCTGTGAATGGACCAATACACATGCAACGCATAAAAATGTCTGTGTAGGTGCTTGCTGGTGATATCAGCGATATCAAATATATCAATATATATATATATATTATATGTTATACATGAGGCTTGTTTTGCCTGTGGTCAGCCCGGTACTGCAAGCTCAACCCATATTATGTCTGTGTTTAAAGGCCCTTGAGACTTACACAAATGAAACATTATAAAGCCTCGTGTGATACTAAGATATGGGAGGCGCATAAACAAATGGAGAAATCCAAAATCTAAAATCCAGGAGACATGTCTGGCGAGCGTTGCGCAAACACTTGCGAACAGCAACGCTACTCCAGCTACGAGGCCTGTCGGGACTTCATCGTCTTCGAGATCCTCTGTGGGCAAAGCGGCTCAATTACTTTCCAGGTTCTATGTCTAATAGCAGCCCTCATAGCGATGGACTCCAACCAAATAGCGATGGCCTCCAACCTGAAACCTATGGCCTCAACCCACTAGCGATGGCCTCCAACCTAATAGTGATGGCCTCCAATCTACTAGCGATTTCCTCCAACCTAATAGCAATGGCCTCCAACCTATTAGCAATGGCCTCTAACTCTAACCTAATAGCGAGCCTCCAACCTAATAGCGATGGCCTCCAACCTACTTGCGATGGGCTCCAAACTGATAGCGATGGCCTCCAACCTAAGGCCTCTAGCCTCGATGGCCTCCAACCGAATAGAAATATAGCATCCAACCTCATAGCGATGGCCTCCAGCCTCTAACCCAATAGCAATGGCCTCCAACCTAATGGCAATGGCCTCCCACCTAATACAGTAGCGATGGCCCCCAAACCAAATAGCGATGGCCTCGAACTTGAGTCTTGGAGGGAAAAACCATTGCATACATAATCATAAATCGAATTGCAGTCTTACCCTCCACTGTAGACAGAGTGATTGTAGATCAAAACTTGAGCTGTCCTCAGGCGCCTCCTCGTCATCATCTAGGCCCAATTCCTCCTCATCGATCTTGTCAATTGCAGCCAACTCTTCCTCCAAGTCAAAGCCATCTTCAGCATCATCACGCTCAGTTTCATCGGATGGGTGGCCAAATGCCTGCGCCTTCAATCTGTTCAGGAAGAAAAGAAGCTATACACCCTTTTCAAAATTGATGGCTCGATCTGGAACAAGCAAATGGCACCAGAAACTGCCAAAAACGCACCCGGAAAACCGTTATTAAAAAACAATATACATATACATATATATATATACAGTATACATGTTCAAGCAGAGTAAATTGCTTTCCACCCATTCACAGAGTAGACTTGCACCATCTTCTGCAAAGAAAAGTCTGATAATGTAGTATAAGATGTCGATTTTGGTAGACCACCTCTCTTTCCAGCGAGGGCTTCTTCATGACCTTCTTTTTGCTGTGCCTTTCCTTCATTAACTTCTCCTTTCCCTCTCCTTCCCTTGCCTTGCCTTCCCTTTCCCTTTCCCTGCACTGCACTGCACTTGCATTTCAATCTCCATTGACCTATTGTCAGAACGGTGCACGATAATAGCCAAGTAAATGGCGCAGCCCTTGTGTGAAACGATGTTAATGATGGTTGAGCCAATAGCTGGCGGAACTCATTTCCATCTCCTTCCCGTTCCCTCTTGTTTCATACCCTGTCCCTTTCTTTTTAATATCCCTTTTGTTTCCTTTCCTTCACTTCTCCTTTCCCTTCCTTTCCCCTTCCTCGTCTTTACTGTTCTTTCCGTCTATTTCCTTCTCCTCTGTTTTTTGCTTCCTTTCCTTTCCTCACCTTTTCTTTCCTTTCCTATCCTTTCCCTCTCCTCTCCTTTTTCAAGCCTTTTTCTTTCCTTTCCTTCACTTCTCCTTTCCTCTCCTTCCCTTCCCATTCCTTTGCCCTTTTCTTCCCTCTTTTCCTTGAGCCACTCTCCAAAAAACAGTGTTGCCGCTTGCACCATCTATGGCGCCCTTTGCCTGTCCTTCTTCTTTCCTTTCCTTCACTTCTCCTTTCCGTCTCCATCCTTTCCTTTTTGGTTAAACACATCATTGGAAAGGTGGCTTGCGCCATCTAATGTCATGCTTGCTGCTTTCAGGGCCAAAAAATGTCAAAGCGGTTTCTCACAAAACGGAATGTAAAAGTAGATGGCGCCAAAAGCATGGCAATGCGTCCCCGACATGTTATTTTCCCTTTCGTTGTCGCGGTTTTTCGCCTAACATGGCTTGCGCCATCTGCATCTGGGTTTTTGCATTCCAGAGGCTTTTTTCCTGCACAGTAATTAGATGGCTCATTGCAACAACTTAAGCCATGTCTTTTTGGAACGGAGCATATTTATAAGAACATATTTATATAAATGCACCAAGGACCAAGCATAATACAACATATTGCAAGAATGTGACAGCCTAAACTCCAAAAATCACCGTCAAACAAACTGCATGCGTTGGCACAAAAATGCGCAGAATAACCACAAACAAACTTCAACGTGACCTGTTGGCACAGGCAAAAGTTGTAGGTCAAAGCCACCCAAAGGTACCGCAACATACTACCCAACTCACCTCTGGCGGAGGCGCAATTAATCATCTTTCGCAGGCGCAGCACTTCGGACTTGCCAGGGAATCATTTTTACATGGCTAATGTCGTGGTGCAGTGACTCTGGTGCGCGTCTCTGGCGTGCTTTGGACCAAACGCACCCAAAAAACATATCTTATCGTGTGTTCTCTTGCCGCTCCTGCTTGCAAAAGCATGGGTCGGCAAATAAATGCAAAGAACCAGTTAGGGTCAGGGTGCTGTAGTCACGCCGCTGGACTTTGAAAACTGACACGTTTTTCACGTGGGTCTTTGTCGCTTTCTAGAATGTGGGGGAGAAGTCCCCAAACGATGACAATGTGATCAAACATCATCAAACCGAATGTGTGAAACATGAGGAATTCCCAGGGCCACGTAGGCACCACCATGCCAACAACATCACAACAGTGTCAAAGACAAGAAACATAGCCAAGACTCACAATTCACAACATCAACAGCACCCGCGGACCACCAGCACCAGCACAAAAAATAGAATATATAGATCAGCAAAAGCAAAAGCACCAACAGCAACAGCGATCATAATGCTCAACCATAACCTACAACCAAACAACACATTCCACAGCGAACGACCAACAACCGGCGACCAGAAACCAGCTCAGGTCCTACGACCAATGTCTACACACAATAGGCCTCTTCTTCTTCTTCTTCTTCAGCTGTTCGTGGGCCGGATAGAACGGAGGCTGCCCTTCCAGATGGTCTTTTCGGTGCGCGGAGCTGATCAATAAAGCGGCGTCCAATCAGCAATTGCTCACCTCAGCTTAGGACAACCGTTTGGGAAGGAGCAAGTTCTTCGTTTGTCGTCCCCTACTTTGGAGATTTTGTGTAGATGAAATGTGCCAGGTGCAGTCACAGCACTGAAGGCTGCAGCAAGCAAAGCCCGCAGTTTGATGCTCTTGGCACACAAAGGCAAAGATGCACAATGGCCGTTGAGAAATGCCAATAGTCGGTCTGGGTGCGAAGTCTCAAAGCTGAACACGTTGCAAGAGTCTCTAACAATCAACCACACGTTGTATCAATTTGGATGCTGGCATGACGGCGCTCGGATACTTTATAATATCGGCAAACCATGCGATAACACCACGGCTTTAAACACTTCTCACACGTCAAACCTTCAGATAAACGGTCCCGTGCCGTTGTAGAGAACAACCACAGCTACTAGTAGTTCAATTCTCGTTTGCACCACCCCACCCTTTATGTTTGCTTGACTCTTGTCCGCTGTTTTAGAGCTTGGTGGTTTCTTGTCTGGACTGTGTTGATGATAGTGCCGAAAGCACACTTCAACCTGTTTTACATGTACATGTTTGTGCCCATTGCCGCAAAACCAATGTCACATGGCTCAATTCAACAAAACCAATGTCACGACATGTGGAAGGTGGTTCAACATTCTCAGTCTCTATATAAAGCCACATCATACAGTACTAGTACGGTCTCAACATCTCACCATTCACCATGTCACACCCTGCCAAGGTGCCAAGATCGTGGCGAATTGTGTCGCGATCTCCGGGAATACTGGAGTCTGGCAACAAGCGGGCACGATCAGCAAGATCTCCAACATTGGCCAAAAAGTCTCGAAACCTGACATGGACGAGACGGACGGGTGAAAGATGGTGCAATTCCTTCTTGGACCTAAGATTGCCTTTTTGTTCATCAAGCTAAGGAAACAAATGCTTCGTCGCTTCGTACATGGGCCTTTTACGGGGAGTACTCAGAGTACTCTTCAATACTCATGAGAAATATTGAGAAATGCCTCATGAGCACCTCTGGGAAGTGTTCAGAGTTTGCTAGGAATCAACGGGGCTTGTGCGGACTCTTTTTTCTGATCTCATACCTATATATGACCTGAGCGAATCTCTCGAAAGTCCTTCTGCGCTTAAAGCCGGGCAAAGTGCTTGAGATGTCTTGAGATAAACTTCCATGCATGAGAAAGATCGGATGCCACCGTGTTGGATGATTTGCGCTACGATTTGTGCATCATGCTGCAATTTACGACCCCTGCATCACCCAGCTCAAAGGGCAGCCCTTGTTGAAGCACGACCACCTCCTTTCTGCCCAACACTACATGGGAGTGCGCTTGCAGTCTCGAGTCTATATAAATGTGCACCCCTTTCTTGTCCCCGCGTATGTTCTGTTCCCTTGCTGGATTTGTTGATGGCAGCAAAGGAAAAAATACATGACACAGTAGTTCAATAATATACTATAACATATGTCATTATTTCATTTGGATTCATTTGGCAGTTTCTAGGCTGCACGATGGCAAAGAACCATCCCTGATCGTCTTCAGGTCTATGTCCTGTCTGATCAGAGCCTACAAATATCAACATTATATACATCAAACTCGTTGTTGGCAACTTGCTCCTTTGTGAGCGGACCCGTTTGGCAAGTGTGCGAAGAAGTTGACAATTGACAGCGGGGACAAAGAGGAAAAAAAAATAATAGACGGTGTTCGGGCCCGTTTAAAGGAAACCTTCTTCAAGGGTCCCAAACATCTTCCTTCTTTCTTTCTGTCCTGCTTTCTTTCTGTCTTGTTCTTTCTGTTCTCTGTGTACAGTAGAATCTGTTTCAGTGTCGACACAGCGAAGCCATCACCACCAGCACCACTGTGGAGTTCTCGCTGCCAAATCCACCGAGAACTCGTCTGTGGGACGCATGTCCAGTCACATGAACTCCCAACAAGCAAAAAGGGGAACCAGCGCTTTCAATCGGCTGAGCGAAATCTGCCACCTACAGATTCTACAAATATCTAGTACAGCTGCAAACAGGTGCCCAGCCAAGATTGTGGGTCAGTATTCATGAAGGCGCTGCTGGGAAGCTGCGATGCTTCTTTGCGATAAACTCTTGGTGCTCACGCGATACGTCAAGTTTTCGCACAGTGTTCGCATAACTTTCGTGTCATTTCGCATGTTCATAACAGCCGCTTTTGGGACAAATCTGGCACCTTCGAGGGTGCACATTCGCATTCTTCGAAATGCTGTCTATGGCGGTCACAAAGTCAGGTCTGCCTCGACAAAGCAATTACGATCAACATCGATCAACCAAATCTACAGACTCTACATTACATGTACCGAAACATGCAAAAACAGTTCAACGTCAAGGATCTTGTCTTGGCATCCATTCACATCCAATACTGCTGCTTAACGTTATTGTACTGTCCTTTTTGACACGCGTGTCCAAATAGGACTGCTCGCCTGCCACCTGTGACTTGGAAAGCTTCTCAAAGTTCATGACCCAGTATGCGAAAAGCCGCAACAACCTTAACAATTGTCCAGGCTAGACCTTGAGGAACCTGTTTGTGGTTTTACTTATTGCGCAAAAAAGCTGGGTTTGTTAGCTGCATAGAGAATTACAAAGCATTTGATTCCAGATAACGATACGACTAGTAGATACTAGTAGTAATCAGAGATTCTCTTGGTCTCTCTACACTGTTTTGGTGTCACTATACCTTGTGGTTTGTGTTCTTTCACGACGTCGTGGTGTTGGTCTCATGTTTCTGTATGTAGGTATGTATGCATGCATGTATGCATGCATGTATGTATGTATGGATGGATGGATGCATGTATCCATGTCTGCATGTATGCATGTACGCATGTGTGCATGTATGGATGGATGTATGGATGTATGGATGGATGTATGGATGTATGGCATTTTTCCCGAGTGTGAAAGTATGCAAGTGTAAGTATGTCAGTATGTAAGTGTAATGATGCAAGTGCAATGATGAGCATGCAAGCATGCAATGAGTAGGCAAGCATGTAATGAGTATGCAAGCGTGCAATGAGTAGGCAAGTGTGAGCATGGAAAACTAGCACGGGAGATGTCCTAATGAAAAAACATTTCCCCACTTTATAAATTCTCTCTTAAAGGCGGAGGGTGGGACGAACAGCGTCAACCGAAAGTGCAACCCTCTGCGGAGATCGTGCGCGTCGAGTGCGCGAAATGCAGGCGAGAGTGCGATTTGCAACCTGCGCGCGCAACCCTCTGCGGAGATCGTGCGCGTCGAGTGCGCGAAATGCAGGCGAGAGCGCGATTTGTGAAATTACCGCGCAACCCTCTGCGGAGATCGTGTGTGTTGAGTGCGCGAGATGCAGGCGAGAGCGCGATTTGTGAAATTACCGCGCAACCCTCTGCGGAGATCGTGCGTGTCGAGTGCGCGAAATGCAGGCGAGAGCGCGATTCGTCCGGTGCGCGCGAAACCCTCTGCGGAGATCGTGCGTGTCGAGTGCGCAAAATGCAGGCGAGAGCGCGATTTGTGAAATTACCACGCAACCCTCTGCGGAGATCGTGTGTGTTGAGTGCGCGAAATGCAGGCGAGAGCGCGATTTGTGAAATTACCACGCAACCCTCTGCGGAGATCGTGCGCGTCGAGTGCGCGAAATGCAGGCGAGAGCGCGATTTGTGAAAGTACCGCGCAACCCTCTGCGGAGATTGTGCCTTTCTAGTGAGAACTTTAGTACGCGGAGCAATCTGTGGAGCTGCAAGCTGACAACTGGCGACTTTGTAGGACAACTTTAGTACGCGGAGTAGCCGAGAACTGGCGACTTGGTAGTACAACGTTAGTACGCGGAGTAGCTGGGGAGTGGGAAGATGAGAACTGGCGACTCTGTAGTACAACTGTAGTACGCGGAGTAGCTGGGGAGTTGGAAGATGAGAACTGGTGACTTTGTAGTACAACTTTAGTACGCGGACTAGCCGGGGAGCTGGAAGGTGAGAACTGGCGACTTTGTAGTACAACGCGGAGCAATCTGTGGAGCTGGAAGCTGAGAACTGGCGACTTTGTAGTAGAACTTTAGTACGCGGAGTAGCTGTGGAGCTGGAAGCTGAGAACTGGCGAGTTTCTAGTACAACTGTAGCAGCGGAGCAAGCTGTGGAGCTGGAAGCTGAGAACTGGCGACTTTGTAGTACAACTTTAGTACGCGGAGTATCCGGGGAGCTGGAAGATGAGAACTGGCGACTTGGTAGTACAACTTGAGTACGCGGAGTATCTGGGGAGTTGGAAGATGAGAACTGGCGACCTGGTAGTAGAACTTTTTAGTACGCGACCTTATCTGTCTGTCGACCATGCCAGCGTCTTGGGCGGTCGTGGGAAGCGGCCCGCGCCGCAAATACCACACCGCCCGATTGCATCGAACTCAGCGGCTACCACGACCAGACTGGCAGGTTTGTTCAAGTGGACCCACCGCTCCGCATCCCACTGGCGGACGTGTTACCAGATGGCACCCTCGACGCCGCCCAGTTGGCCCAGATGGTCGCCGCCGTGTCTCCGGAGCGGACAACGCAGTGAGAGTCTCCCCGACGCAGGGTGTCACCTAGATGTTCACACGGTAACCAACTGCATGTCTCATACCATGAATTCTTCCTCACAAATCCTGTGTGGACGTCGTTTTGCGGAGCACAACAAGTACTAGACATAGTGTCGGGGAGTTTCTTCCATATACAAGGGCTAGTCGCGAGCTGAACGGCCAGAGCACACTAAAACATGCGCAGTGCCTGCTGCGTGTCACCTCGCGCTACTTTGTTGCATGTTTCTGTAGGAGAGGCGATTAGAAAATGAGCAGCATAGTGGTTCTTAACTACATCTAGAGCGAAGCACATGTCACCCTCAGAGCGCCTGCGCCAACAGACAGTGCATTTTCCGTGGCTGACCTTTCGGTGCTCACAGTGACATTGCAGAAGTCTCCATACAACTTGTGCCAACTACCAAAATATCAACTCAACAGCAGTGACGCATATACTTGCAAGAAGTTTCACGCACCCCACAAGCTTTTGCAATATTCATATCGCACATGAACCTTTACAACGCAAACAGAGCCTTCTTATGGCTACGCATGCGCTATTTACTAGTTTGCAGCCCACTAGCTCGTAGGTCTGCCTCTTTGCCCAGCCATCATGCCAGGGACCTTGGCATTGTTGACGACCACTTCTTCAGCGTCAACCAGGACGACCAGAGACAGGTGCGCCTCTGTTGGTCCTATGGAAGCAGGACATACCACGACGACCAGCCAGAGCTCATCCATGAAAGATGGCCAAACCAGTCCATAGCAACCAGACGCTGGGTTGCCCATGGAGAAACCTGGCAGTTTTGGCGAGCGGTCCAGTGGTCCAGTGGATGGGAAGACTGGGTTAGGAACAACAGCCGCAACTTCACAGATGCCTACACCATCATACCGTGACTTCTTCCTGATAAATTCTGTGTGGACGTCGTTCTGCGGAAGCACAACACTATCTTTTCTGTGTACAAAGACTAGTCGCGAGCAGAACAGCGAGAGTACGCTAAAACATCTACAGTGCCTGCTGTGTGTCACCTCACGCTACTTTGTCGCGTTTTTCTTTGAGACAGTCAATTAATCAATGACAAGCATAGTGGTTGGTTAACTACATCCTAGAAAAGCTGTGTCCTGGAGTGAAGTAAACGTTTTTGCCCGGAAGATATATATCGATGGACGCATCTCCTCTGACAGGTCACTGCTTCGAGACGCTTCTGGCGTGGCTGCCTCAGCAGTTTCTGTGTTCATTCCAGCTCGGTTTTTTCAGTGAGATTCCCTGCAGCGGTGCACGCTGCTTCTCCCCTTACCAGCAGCTCACATGCTCACGACGATGAGCTGGGCTGTCACCGCTTGGCCGCCGGTGGGGGTTTGGG